AACCATCATCATCGCTGATGCTAAGACCAAGGTGGCAGCGGCCTTTAGGAGGGAGGCAACAGAAATGACAGACACCGCAACGAAAAGACAGCGAAATTTCAGCGTGTACAAATTTTTAAAAGACGGCTGTGCTCTCGCTTCAGGATCTGCCTGGGGAGTTTGACTTATAACAATGACAACGTCATAGGTTTCAGCTTCATATCCTATGTTCTATCTCAAAGTACAGATTTTCCTGTCCAATTTGACTCCTGTTACTCATAGTGTAAGGAATGTTACGTATTTTAGGATTGTTCGCTTGAATTTCACAAATCACAAAACCTCGTGATCTCGCAACAGCCGGAAAATTTGATGTGATGTGGTCAGGTAAATATAGCTTTTATTTCCTGACTGTAAGGAAATACAGAAACGCTTTACTTTGAAAGTAAGTCAATTATTGTCAATATTTGTTTCCACTTAAGATTTTCGCAATCTATTTTGAGAAAGATTTTACCAGATCACAGGGTTGTATACAGACATTTTCTTGCTATTATCCACTTTCCTCTCCGCTGCATAATGCTTGAGATGGATGCTTTCATCTCTACATCACTCGACTTACCAGAACTATGCAGACAAACAAACGCCAAGGAGCCCTATTGGTTGTTTGTTGTTTGTCATGGCAAGTTGAACCTAGCTGGTTTGTCGATCCGTGAACAAAATGGTGATAATATCAAACCATTCTATTCTTATCGCCGAAACTTACGGAATTGTTTCTGCTGATCTTTTTTGCAACGTCTGCGAGACGAGTGCATGTAACCGTAGCCTAATTTGTGACTATTTGTATTTTTTTTAATCCTTGCTACTATATTTAAGACACACGTCCGAGGTTATTTTTGGACACAGTTCAGCAAGACCGGGTCATATGAATAAAATGGAAGCATATGGGAAAATCAAATAATAATGATAAAAAGGAAAAGAAAGCTTTTTGTCATGCGCTCCGTATAGTTCCTCTTCTTTCTTATGAAAATATTTTTTCTAGTAGTATCTACTCCGCGAATCTTTCTTTGTTTCTTCGATACATATTTTTTTTCAATGGTGCGAGGTAGGAGGTCAAATAACGCATTTTAATGAGATTTGTCTCCTCATACTACCGGTTGTTTGTTTGATTGATTTAAAGGGCACCTCTGGCATGTTCACACAAGGGCAGTCTTACTCACGACGAAATCTCCGCCAAGAAAAATGATCAAATTCTCTCCCTTTCCGATTAGATGTCTCAAAGACACCTTGTGAAAGGTAGCGACCGATGATATAACATATTTACTTCAATCTAATCTATAATTTCCACGTGACTGTTAAAGGCAATGTCTCGTATTAGAAGTTGTTCTGAAATAATTTCATGAACTTTAGCCACCGGTTTTAGCTGAAACGAAGACTCCAGAAAACAAAGACCAAAAATCTAAGACCCAAAAAGGAAGACTCGGAAACGAAGACCCCTTTATTTCTTTATTTAACATGATTGTATCGAAGGCTATTTTTGATTATTTACGTGACTTTCATACCCTTTTGTTTTTTGTGACATGCAGTCGAATTGTTGGCATTATGTTTCATTCGGCCACGAGACGCGTGTTTTACAGGTATAGTCAGAAGAGGAGAAAGATTGAAGGATTGGCGAAATATTAGAGTGATGAACGGGGAAAGAGGTATATTCATCTTGTTTATCTTTGTATTTATATACCGAAACGTGTACAATGAAACGTGTAGTTTTGTTAGGCTTAGAACATTTGTGTTCTTTTGATTTATCTGCATATACGCCCCGCGTGTTCGAGTTTAGGACATTTTGATACGTGTATATTGTATGGTAAAGGCTTTTTTAAATTTATTGTATTTCAGTTTTTACGAGCTTTCAAGTTTAATAAACGAACTGAGATTCGATAGATGCTTGGAGGTTCCGTTAATATAAAACATCTCTTCGACGCGGCGTTGTTAGATTCAATTGATGTCAGTGTCCGCCCCATTGCAATGGTATATTGTTATGGTTTCAGCACCGGTTTTAATCTTTCTGAGAGCGATGAAGTATGCCATACCTTTCTACTTAAGTTATCTATTCTTTCCGCAACCCAGAAGTGTTAACACTAGGGAGGAGATGAAAAAGGGGGTTTTATAACGTTTGCAAATAACGGTACAACTTTGAAATTATCTTCCACTGTAAAAAGGCTGAAGAGCAACGCCGTGACACCTACTGGCGTCAGTGGGGTCGAAAGTTCACATCGGCAATTTTAGATAAGGACGTAAGGGTGGGCGGTTAGAAATTTTGAAGGGTACTAGAGTTTTCGAAAATAAAATAATTAAGGAAAGCAAGAAATAGGAAAATTTAACGAAATAAAGCGATTCTGGTTTAGCGCTTAATGTAATTGTAGGCGATTTTTGTTTAATTTTTTCTTTTTTGTTAATTAACTGATAAATGATCACGTTGCGAACAAAGAAATTGCCAAGCTTTTAACTGTTTTCATTGGTGAAGCCATGAAGCGTGACGCGCACTTCCTGTATCAAGATCGTGAAGGGGTTTTCGCTTTCGGGTCTTCGTTGTGGAGTATTAGATCTTACGTCTTGGTTTTTATGGGTCTTCGTTTTTGCTACAACTTTAGCCGCCGGCTGTTTGTTTGCTGGATTTGAAGGGCGCCCTCGTGCTTGTCTCACACAAGGGCAGTTTTGTTCACGATGAAATCTTCGCAAAAAATATGATCAGATACGATCCATTTCCGGTCAGTTGTCAAAAAGACAGCCCGTGGAAGGTAGCGACTGATGGAAGAACATATTTACTTGAATCCCATCTGAAATTTCCTGGGATGAATCTCCTCGGAGTCCTGGTCGATACTTTTTCAACTAAACCGAAAGCTCGTATAAGTTTTCATCAGACATCTCACTCGACAGTCCTTTGTCATAGAGTCGATAGACTGTTCTCACGAAGGAGATATGATCATCCATGGGCTGCAACGAAAAATAGAGGGAAAAAGATAACTGGCAAAAGCCATGACACCATGACCGCTTAAGACAACAAGACACAAAATAACGGCCATACACTCAGACTAAACCAATGTGCACTCGACTTCTGTTTTGATGCATGTGAAGCATATTTACCGAGACTTACCGTAATTTTTTTCCTTTTTTTCCAATGAGAAAACGTATCTCAAATTTACATGATATCGATAGCATGTGCGTCCTGAACCCCAAAAATTTCTGGTTTGATTTCTCCCACACATTTTAACCGACGCCATTCAACTGCTATTGACGTCGACGCGAGGCTCTTTCTGTGCTATTGATATCAACTGAACTAGGTACTAAGAGTCATAAATAGCAGAGACAAAAAATCGGACCGTGACGCCATGTTTCAAGACGTCATGGTATAGACTAAACTTCTATGGCCCGGACTGATTGATTTTTGTTATTCATAAAAACAATTAAAAGAACTGATTTATTTTTTTGTTGGGTACATGATTTCTTGAAATAGCAGCGAAACACTAGTAACTAACGTTCACTAAGTTAGAAAGTTTTTTAAAAGGACTAGTTCGAATACATAAAATCGCGAAAAATATCAATCGCAAAAATGATTTAGGCTGGCAACAATTGTTCACATTTGAAAAAATTAATAGCTATGTATGCATAAACATCAGCGTTTATAATAACACAGTGTAACGTACAGGTCAGTCAAATCTGTTTTTCCGTAGTCGCTGGTTTGACAACTCCATCATCT